ACTTGTGCATACCTCTTGGCATACCTACTTTAAGTAACTGTTAGATTACACTGTGCGACAAATTTTGACCTTACAATTTGAACTGGGATGAAATGTGGAAAAATCGAATCTATGCAACCCCCAAAACTAATCTTTAAAGGGGTTTTGCTAGTTTAGCTCGAATAATGGAGATATACATATATATATGTATATCTCCATTATTCGAGCTAAACTGGTAAAACCCCTTAAAGAATTTGTTTTGGGGGTTGCCTAGATTCGATTTTTTCAGATTTGATCCCAGTTCATTTTTTGTGTTGCACAGTGTTATAAGAAAACAAACAATTTTTAGTAAAAATATTTAATACTCCCATAACATGTGATTTATTAAAATTTTTAAAGTTATAATGATTTTTTAATGTAGATCAAATTCAGTCGAAGCTTTTTAACTATTTGTATTGACAAAACTTTATGTAGGTACACTTTAAGCTGGATAAGAAAAACTACCACATTTTTAAATACCATATTATACAGTCTTTTAAATAATCCAAAATACTTATTTATTTTGGTAAAAATAAATTTTTCTAACCTTAAAATTAGAAAATGATATTTTTGTTATAATATATTAACCTACCTTTAATACAGATATACTTATTCCATAATAGAGAAGCTAGATTTTTTTTCAATAAATGCTGTTTATTTTAAATTATTTTATGGGGAAAACCCGATATTTGGACCAAATGCACAAAAATATTACATATTTGTCACCATACACTTTAGAATTTCATTAAATGCAGTATTTATATTCTTAAATTCTTAAACCATCCATTGTTATTGTAATGTTATAAGGATTTATACATTTTTAACGCCTAAACATAATATTATTTCTTTCGTTGACTATACTTTGACAGATACATAACCTGAGAAGCCTTAAATGCCAAATTTTCAAAAGACTGCGTTGGTCACGTGGTGGGACTTTGTGGTGTGGAGCATGGTACAATTGAATCGGTGAGATTAAGAACCTACAAGTCCAAAAGTCAAAATTTTGACAAAATATTTAAAAAAAATCAGTTTTATAATAAATATAATAAATGCATTTTTGTGGGAATATTTTAACTGTTTTATAATAGTATATTAAAGAACTATAGTTCTTTATAATGTCATAAGACGTCATTTTGTCGCACGCGGACAATGGACGAGTGCGACAAAAGGTCTTATGACATGAGTTCTTTATGCTATCTTATCTATTTTGCAAAAATTCTATAAAAAAAATTAATGTTATACCTTAAATTTAATTTGATCGAATTTTACTTTAGATAGTTGGTATCACAGTCATTGGTTTTACAGTTGATGTCAAAATAGATTCGCCATGCCGTCCTTAATTTACTTTTTTAAAATAAGCGGCTGTTAATGTTAAAGAAGAAAAAAAGGATTTTCTTTGGTGTTAAACAAAATTTATTGCGTAAGTACTAGAAAAATCATAAAAATATTATAACCAATACGCAAAATATTATGCTGTTTAAAGTATAGTTAACCTATAAAATCAAAATTTTGGGTGGGATAAAGTATCTCATTACAGCGCCGAAAGTGGTGTTATAATGAAGACATTATGAACGCAAAATAGATAAATTGATTTTAAAAAATGACTTGAGAAAATTAAATTTTTGGACTTGTACTGTTCTTATTCTCACGGAATCAATTGGTGGTAATTCAGACATTTTAGTTACACTCCATATGTCAACTTTTTTTGAAAAAATGTAATATCCCAAAAACAATTACAAAACATATTTAGGTAATTTTGACTTTTGACAGTTTTATAACAGTGTTTTAATATACGTTTTCTTAAAAACAAGAGGGTTACCACAAAATATACCTATGCCATACTACAGTAGATTAATTGAAAAATGTTTTTAAATAAAAATAAAATAGATATAAATTAAACACAAATAAATTGAGTTAGGGAACGGACAGGTGGTAATAAATTAAAAACAAACGTTTACAGGCTATTTTGCATTGCAGGTACATATTGCATATTACAACGGTATTGTATTGTATTGTTTAATTAATCAAACTACAAACGCGAACCTGTTTAATAACAAGTGAGTTCAAATTTAAGATAAGTGTTTTCCATTGAGAGGGGTGATGTAATGTCCTGAAACAATACGACAGCCGCCAACCCTAAAACTATAAAAACGGTGGAGAGGGCCATAAAACAGTTCCCTGAGGTATCTTCTCGCCATCCAGAAAAGGAATGTGTTGAATTAAAGTGACAATGACGTAGGATTTTTTTTTTAAATTAGAACTGCCGACTCATCAAACAAAAAGTAATTTGTATTTAGATCAGCGATACGGCAACCCTCTCTAGCTTCTGAAGTAGGGTAAATGTGTTTGAAAAGTCAACTTTTTAATGCCCAGGAGGAAATTGATTTAATTATTCATGATATGCAAATAATACTGGAAGCAGGAATAACACCATAATTAGGGTTTCATTCGTGAAATCTTATTTTGTTGTCATGACTCTCTGGTTGTCCCAATAAGAACAATTTTGATTAAAAAAACACAGTATTTAATTTAAAACTTCCAATGCACTAGGTAATCTTTTAAATACACTGTCTGAAGTTAGCTTTAAGTAAGTTGATAGTTTTCAAATTTCACACAATGGCCAAAATAGTGCATTTCTTGTGAAATACACGGAAATAAATATTGAATACAATTAATCCAGTAAGGTAGTATTGCAATCAAATTTTTGATCAATATAGCGCCAATCCAAAATTAGACTAATATCAATAATTCATTCGATTGAATTATTTGCTAGGCTTAAATGTATCAAATCGTGATAAATAGCAGCAAATAAGTTTTAAAAATCACTACAAAATTTAGAATAATTATAGTGAAAATTAAATTAAATTCGCCTACGATTTTCTAAAATCCACATAATATTTTCTTGAATTTACCAATTCTTTGATTCAATTAAGCACCCTTTAGGTCAGTTTAAACTATTTAAATTGTATTATTTTAATCAGTTCAATATTTGATTATTGACTGGAATATTGATCTTCGTAATAAGCTGTGATAGTGGGGTAGGTAAAGTATATATACTAAATTTTGTTTTTAATAAATATTCATTTATTTTAGCATACAAACTTTCATAAAAAAATTACTTAATGAAATAATAATCTATAGGTTCAAAATACAAAAAAATAACTCAATAATGGTTTAGTTTAACAAGTGGTTTTTATGTTTAATTGACTAATATAATGTATAATTTTTAAAGTTTTCAAATATTTGCGTTTAAAACCTTAAAAAACAACTGCTTAAATTTAATTTAACAGCGTGGTGCGCACAACAGTTTTTGTTCGAATGCCAACGAAATCGAACAGACCTTCTTGTGTGGATTGTTATCACGATTTTAAAATTATCCATGTCCCTGACGTCTACTCGACAGTGAAAATGCTTGGTAGGAGCATACCTATAAAAATGGTTTATTTGTTACTTACCTATATTTCTCTTAATAACCAAAAACGTGCAAATTAATAATTTATTATACCTACATATATCGAAGTCAAAATAAACGGTTTTGGAATCTGCTGTGTTGAATAGACACGATCGTTCTTTCACAACTCACTACACCACCTGTTTCGAAGAGAAACTGCAAACTGCGTTAAAAATTAAAAATTGGCATGTTTGCTAAATTTGCTGCTTATATTAGAGATTTGGTCAAAATATTAGCTTGATTTTAGCTGACTTTTAATAATTCAGTCAAATATTGGATAATCGTATTAAAAATTTTATAGAATTAATTTTATATTTGATTAATGTTAGTACACATTTCATACATCTTTTTTTAAAATTCAGTAATTTTTTTAAATAATTCAATCTAGACAGAATTATTTTAATTTAAACTTTCATAGATATTATCAATTATTTTATTGTTTTTATTCCAAATATATTTGAAATAAGTTTAAATTAAAATAACCCTGTTATTATTAGAAACATTTACTGAATTTTAGAAAAAGACCTATAAAATGTGTACTAACATTAATCAAATATAAAACTAATTCTATCCAACTTTTGATACTACTTACTAATACTAGTAAAAATAAAGTTAAATCCATTTAGTTTTTATTTAAATATTATTTGATGAAATTAATCCAAATAGGAATATAATAATAAAGTCCAAGAGTTAATCTTATCTACCTTTTCTTTGAAAATTAAGCTTAACGTTGCATAAGCCAATCTTAATGTTGATTGGTTTAAGAAAAACTTTTTCTGTGACCAATCTTAACTTTGCTGTTCCTAGAAAAAAATGTGTTCGATTTAGCACTTAGGATGTTATTTTAATTTTATGATATTAATTATTTGCGAAATGTGCATATGTAGATATCATAAAAAACTTAAATTTGTCAGTTTTTTTCTTAATTTATTCTATTTTAGATTAAACTAATTCATTTTGGATAAATTAATAAATGGATTTAATTTACTTTATCATAAAATTTCTTTCCGTGGTTTTGTCATAAAAGTTGCCAGATTTTGTTTGAATTTACCTTCAATACAAAAACGCCAAATTAACAATTTGCATTGTTGATTTTGTCATTTTTGTTGTTTGTTGTTACCAACCATAACATAACAAAATTAAATTAGGCAACCAGATTAGCCTAAAGTTCCTAGTCTATTTTGGTAGAATTTAGAAAATTGTCAATTTTTTATCTAAAGTTTAAACAATTTTTAGTTTTAGAACAATTTTTTTATTTAAATACTGTGTTTTAAATTAAAATCATGTTAGTGTTGGGAAATCCTTACATGTACTGAATTTACTGGAAAGCTAGTAGGTAATTATATTTATGCTAGTTTAGTCGCCCCAAAGGAACAATAAACTCAATTAGCTGAACTAATTCATTGCGGTTAGTTTCTGAAATCCGACTGGTTCCGTATAAACTTTTAGTTTCGTCGTAAAACAATAAAGCAGGACCGTACCGAGCCCCATACGCGAATTGGGGCCGGAATGTTCTGGTGCATGGCGTGCGATGTTTGCCAAGAAAACAAACCGTCGCAAAGGTGTGGTGACCACTGGGAAATCTTCCGCGAGCAATTCTCTGGATTGGGACTCGCCGTCGAATAAAACGGGCACCGTCAAGAGGAGACCCATCTCTACAGAGGTGGAGGACGTCGATGCCGTCATAAGAGATGCCGGAGGAAAGTACAAGGACAGAAGCATCTACGAGCCAATGTCACCGCTCGAGAAAAATGGTGAGGGCTTCTGTAGTGAGAGGTTTTGATTTGGATTAATGGTTTCTTTAAGCGTTTCGGGAACGTGGGGTCTATTTATCAATTGTATTCTTGAAAAATTACCATAGAAAACATATTTTCTTTTATGATTACACAAGTCAAACTAGGTGAATCATCCAGGGTTATTTTTTATTTTATTTGATGCACTGAAATAAAATCTTCAAACAATATTTCGAATATTTTAGATATTTTTACTTTTTATACAGTTTTAAAAGTTTGACCACTATATTTAATTATTGGAAACACATTCAGCTTTCCAGCTTAAATAATTCTTAAGTTATTTAATATAGGTACCTAGGTACTCTATAAAAATGAAATAGTCAAAAATGACTAGTTACTACAGTTATTAGTGGGCTGCTTTTTCACTTATACCATGGTCCCCTGAATCTGAAAATACCGTCAAAATTATGAAAGTATAGCAGGTTTTGAGATGTAGTTCATTCCATATTATATGGAAAATTGACTATATCTCGGTTGTCATAAAATTTTCTTTATTATGTTGGTATACATGCCCCCGAAGTATGATAAAAACGTTAGCTTTTTTCATTGTTTACTTTGTCTGTGGCAGCCGCTAAGGTTAGACGTGTTTTATGAGCTCGGCAATTTTCGTTCGTTCGAAAGAAATGGATCAAAGAATTTGTATCCAATTTTGCTTAAAAAATGAAATAAATTCAGTGAAATGTTAACAACAAGATTAATATTTTTCACAAAAAAATTACTTTTTTAAATAAAAATAATTAAATTCTGTAAATTGAGTATAATAAATAGAATTCGAAAAAAAATCAGAATTTTCAGAACAAGAAAAACACTTTATAATAAATTTGAAGAAAGAAGTTATGGGAAAGTCTTTAAATTCTTATTTTAAGCCATAAAATTAATATTTTTCACAAAAAAAAATTTTTTTGCAATAAAATGTAAATTCCTGTAAGGAGCCCCGTGCGGTCGCAGTGAATTATAAAACCAAGCCTCTAGATTACTTTGCCTACTTAATTCCCCACTACTTTAAGCATGTACAAAGTTTCGAATAAAAATGCAACACCGTGCATACGGGACACATATACCCCGTAATGCACCCTGTTCAAAACTAATACGGGGCAGTTCTGACCCGTAACGCACCCAGAAATATACTTTAAAAATATCTACCGCAGCGAACGTGTTAACGTGTTCTAAACAATCGATATGTTTTGAAATAAAAAAGTTAGTTAAAAAAATGAAATTTCATCATTTTAAAAATAAAAATAAAGTTTTCAATGGACGAGACTTTTTTTGAAAAAAGTTTCAATCGATTTCTCGAACCCTTGCAAACCGATCGATCCTTTCGCGAAAACGTAGTGACGACATTTTCGTATTCAGGGGACAATTTTACATAAGAATTGGCTGGTAAATTTTGGGATACCATGGTTAACCATGGTACGAGTGAAAAAGCAGCCACTAATGACTATTAAGTCATTTTTGACTAGTTCATTTTTAGAATTTGATTTTTTAGTTTACACGGAGAGAAAAATGTATAGTAAATTTTAAATAGTAAAAAAAATATAGTAAAATTTACTTTAACAATTTTTTAGGGTAACAATAATAAATATATAAATATTCGTCAATACAATATTAAGATTGTAATACAAAATACTATTTTTATTATACAATTTTAGTAAAGATTACAACACCAATATTACTAAATCATAAATGTATAATATATATTTTAATTTTTAATATGTTCATATAGTAAATTGATTTTACTATCTACAAATAGTAATATTTACTATATGATTTAATCAAATGTAAGGTGTACATCTAATATTATAATATATTACACATTAATAAAAAATATAGTAAAAATAAAGATACTTTTATGTTTAAGGTAAATAAACAATATATTTAAATATAATATACAATATAGTAACTCATGACATTTTAAACATTCAATTTTCTTAGATTCTTCAATAAATTTTCTTGACCCATTACTGGTAATACTTATAAGAAAGAATTGAATCTACTTGGTTGCATAGTATGTACCGATTGCGGCAAAGGCCACGTCGCGACGCGTCGTCAGACGGTGTGGATCACGTGATGTTCTTACATCTCGCCTCTGTTGACTTACCAACCATGTTATATAAGCTCAGGTATTTCTTTGTTTTGGGTGTGTTCCACTACTACAAGTTGCTCGACAGTGTCGTGTCGACACTGATGATACCCAAGATAGGTCGAAACACCTGTCTGTCGGTATTTGAAGTTGATGGAACGCACTCAAAACAAAAAACTTTGGCGAGATGTAGGTTCAATTCTTTCTCATAACATTTTTGTATATTAAAAAGTACAATAAATATGTTACAATTTTTAATTGTTAACATATAAAAATATTCGATTTTAAAATATTTTATATTTAAAATGGCAACATAATATTTTGCCTTAAGGTTTAACATACATGCATATTTAAAAATTACTAAATATGCATAGTATCTGGCAATATACAAGATAGTTGTCACAAATAGTAATATAAATTATAGTAAAGGGTATTATAATTATGGTAGTCAGCATTATACTTTTCTCTCAGTGTAGAAAAAATAGTGGCATCTAATGAAATGCAATAAACCATTAATAATCCAAATCAAAACCATTGTAAAACAAGCTCTTACACTTTAACCTACAAACTAGGAGACAAAACTTTATGGCAACGGCCTTCAAAAATACCTGGATACGTGCCGTATCCAGAGCGTCCAATCTCGTCCAATCATTTACCGGACGTACCGAAAAACCCGGACGATAATCAAGAAGACATTGTGCAGTGCGAACGTCCTAGGAACGGCCCGAAATGGCTGCCGTTAAGTGAACAAAACTCGTATCGGTCGGGAAATTCGAAAGTTGCCGGGGAAAGTTTCAAGGATAAGGACGTGCAGTATCATCAGATAGAGCCTGGCGGATTAAGGGAAGGACGTCATTCACGCGGTGAGTTATTTACCGAGAGATTTGCGAAGATGAGTTTGGTTCCCTGAATTCTTAAAGCCGAAAAATAAAGTCCTGAGATATTAAAAAAACATTTTGAGACTTTTTTTATGCTACGTTGAAAATACGTTTAAAGTTTAAACCAAAAGTGCGAACACTCGAGTTTTTGTGTCTAGGAGCACGGTGCTGTTCTGAAAGGTGATTTTTGGACTTTCTGTGAAACCTATTTTTTTTTATATTCTTGTTAATTAGGTCATAACTAAAATTTTAAGAGCAAAATAAAAAAAATTTGACGGTTTGAATTGTTTTAATTGGCTGTTTATTAAAAATATTATGCACTCTTTCAATTATCCAATTAAAACTAGCGATTTAATTTAAATATTTAATATTTGCAAAACTAAAAAAAAGGTTTTTACAATTTTTTTTATATATTTTACTGTTTTGTTGCAATAAACGTTCAAACTTTTAATCTAACCTTTGACGTATACATTTATGTTCCCTTAATTAATATATCCTTAAAGGTTGCCATGAAACTTAGATCTATTAAAAATTTATTTGATGTTTGAATTGTCATTTTCAGTATACGTATTCTATAATTTTTGTTTAGTTTTTTAAAGAGTTTTTTATAAACAAAAATGAAAAATTGTAGTAAAAGTTACGAAGAAATTCATGAAATTTAACTAAGGACCGGTTTATTCATCTTTAGTAAAGTTTATCGGGCCGATAACTTTCATGTCTTGGCAATATCTAGTATCCAAAGAAATTATTCGTCAAATAAATCAAAAATGAATAAATCGGCCCTAAATACAATGTGGCACCCTTAGAATTATTGTTTAATAAATGTATTCTATACATTTAACCTTAAATTAAAACTTTAAACGTGTATTACAACAAAATAGTAAAAGATATAAAAAATGTATAGCCCTTTTTTTAGGAAATTAACTAATCTTTAATCTTATTTAAAAAGTTATGATAATATTTAAATAAAATCGCAAGTTTTAATTGTAGAATTGAAAGTGTGCATACATATTTTTAATAAACATCCAATTAAAACAAAATTAACCGTAAAATTTTTTTTATTTTGCTCTTAAAATTTTAGTTATGACATAATTAACAAGAATATAAAAAAAAATAGGTTTCACAGAAAGTCCAAAAATCACCTCTCAGAACAGCACCGTGAGGAGGTCAACTGATCATTTTAAGCCCAAAATTAAAATAGGTCATCACTTCGGGGAAATTTCATTAAAAAATACCCTATTGGGGTCTAAAAATTTTAGTATATTTTATTAAAATAGGTAACTAAAATCATAATAATTACAACAAAATTATATTTTTATTATTATTTTGTCATAAAAAACTTAATTTATCAGGGTCGAACTCCTCAAAAGTAGATCCAAGTAGGGTTGGGACAGTTGAAATTTTCAAATGAAAATTTAAACTTTGAAAGTTTCAAACTTGAAATATTTCATTTAGTTGGAAAAGTGAAATTTTTAAAAATTTCAAATTAAATTTTCAATCCGAAAATTTCAACATTGCCTGTGAAACTTTCAGAAATTTCATTGAAAGTTTCGCAATTTACTGAAAATTTCATATAATTTCACATTTACAACAGATTCCGAATCGACCAATAAGAACGAGTTATCAAGCGTCTAGGCGTTTTTGTTTAGTACGGCTTGGATTTGAATACATTATAAGTAATTATTGTTACTTATATGCATAAATTAATTTAAATAATTTAATTCAGTTACCAATTTAATTTGTAAATTAAATTAGACTTTAAATTTTTTTAAAGTCATGATTAATTTAAACTTTTACTTTTTAATTGCATCGGAAAACGGATAAAAAATGCCTTTGGCTAATAAAATTTTGATGAAGTTTCTTCAATTTTCTTAAAATTTTAGTAAAATATTTAAAAAATAATAAATATAAATATAAATATAAAACAATGAAAGTGGCACAATCTCATTAGCTTACCAAAAAGTGCTATATCTCTTTTAGTTTTAGTAATTTTAAAAATATTTTAAAAGGAAATCTCAAGAAATTTGTGGTAAACATAGGTATTTACTGTTTATATTATTGGTGCAAGGGCCCACAGAGGGGTAGGAGGTAAGAGAGGCAATTTGCCATGGTCCCCGAGTGGGCTTATTTCAATATTAATATATTACACTTAAAGTGATTAAAATTTATTGAAAGTTTCAATAAATTTCATAAATTTCATGAAATTTCAGTAATTTAGGAAATTTTAATAAATTTTATAAATGTCATGAAAATTTTAAGTACAAGCAACAAGTGAAATTTTCCCAACCCTAGTCATAGGTCATCACTTCGAGGAAATTTCATTAAAAAAATACCCTATTGGGGTCTAAAAATTTTAGTATATTTTATTGTGGTGAAGCAAATTTATTTAAAATAGGTACCTAACTAAAATCATAATAATTACAACAAAATTATATTTTTATTATTATTTTGTTATAAAAAAGTTAATTTATCAGGGTCGTACTCCTCAAAAGTAGATCCAAGTAGATCCAAGTAAAAAATATCGACTCTCCCCCTTATAGGGGGAACAGGGGGTAACCTTAAAATTTCCAATGAACACCCTTTTTTATTGCAGAGTCGGATCATTCGACTAAAAATAGGTAGATTTTGTCTAAAACATTTTTTCATATTTGTAATAGATGGCGCTGTAATGAATAAAAATCAATTTTGTTCGATTTTTCTTCTGTACACGATTCTGCAATAATTTTTGAATAAAATACTTGGTTTTATTTTTTAAATTTATTTATTTATTTTGTTTTAATACTCTGCTAACACTGCTCTGGGATATTCCCAAATCTCTAGATAATTCTCGTGTGCTTGCATGAGGATTAGCGGCCGTTACTGCTAATACATTAATTTCAATATTTCCACCTGTGAATGTTGCTCGACGAACTCTTTTTTCGGTTGAACACTCCCGTTTGTAGTAAACTGCTTGACTGTACGGTGAAATGAAGTACGTGATCGAATTTTATCCGGAAAACGCTGAGCGTAGATATTAACAGCATCATCAAGATTCCTGCCTGCTTCTCCATAAATCAAAATCATTTCTATTTTTTCTTAAACAGTTAAAAAATCCATTATGAATAACTGCTTAACGAAAGGAGGTCTTTTTGTTTGCAAATTAATCTTCGAACTAAATTGATTAAATAATGCTAAACTATGTATACATAGTTTCCCTCAATAATAATTATTATTTATAACTAAATACCATTTTTTATACCTCAATTAGGATTAAATTAATTAATTGACAAAATGATGTTTTTTTTACCTTAAATGAGTAATTTTTATTAAAAATAGTACAATAATCCTTTAAATTAAAGGATTGATGGCAGGTAAAAAGTGACCATGGTGCGCAATTGATAATTATCACCGAATGAAATAATGTATAAAACTTAAACCAACGGAAACTTAAATATTATAATATAACTATAGTTAAAAAATCGTGTGTACTTAAAAAAATCAGATTTAATTTAATAAGATAGTTATTACCAAAAAAGTGATATTTTTATAGAAAAATTATTGCCGAATCGTATAAGAAGAATTCTTATACAAAATTTCAAAAGATTGGTAAAGGCGTTTTAGAGTTAGAATTTTTTTTACTTATTATGCTTTAATTTTGGGCAAAACAAAAAAGTGTTGGCACTTTTAGGTTTAACGTATTTTCAACATACCGTGGCTAATTCTACTCTTATAAGAGTAAAGTAATTTTAAACATTTCCTGAAAAGGTGTATGAATTCGGGATGAACCAAGATTCCTTGCTTTCGGCAAGACAGACAATGATAAATTCCTGTGTTGAATTCTTCAGAGAGTGGAAGCAAAACGGGAAAGGTGTCAGATTCGGATTCTGGAATCGCCTCCCCTCTTTCACCCGGGTCGGTCTACGGCATCCTGGGATATCTTGACAGAAACAACATTAGCCCTTTGCCGAGATGTGACGAATCTTTGCCAAAAGCCGACATTCGAAAGGACTCTAAACACGGTCCTGAACAAATAAAGGTAAGGAAGTGATACTTAGTTTTTTTCGGTTACAATTAATGTAATTATACAGTACATTTTTTGGTTTTCTAGTCCCAATAGTATAAAGTAAAAGTATAAAATTACTTTGAATTTTAAAAATTGCCGAATATTGCCTATAGGCAATTTAAGCAAACAAAATATTCCTATAGGAATATTTTGTTTGCTTAAATTGACTTTTGGTTGGATTTTTATAAATGTTTAGAGTTTTGTTTACTTACATTTAAGACAGGCAGTGCACTTTTTAATTTGTTTACTTTTTTTTCAGAAAAATGTCTTTAGCTAGCTTTATATATCTCCACTGTGTTACCAATTTAAAATCCAAAATTTAATTCAATAAAAAAAAGTTGTTATTAAAATAATTTGAAATAAAATGTACGTAGTTCACAAACTTTTGACTCCAATTTTTTATTTTATTTTTTAATAAAAATTGTATGCTTTTTTTTAAATATGTATGTTCGTTAAGTTACTTTTTAAAATAAACCATTCCGATTCTTTGTTAAAAAAAACAATACCATTAATATTTTCTTTTAGTCACTGTATACAGTGAATTAAACTCTAATTTATAAACACGTATTACCAAGTGATAGTGTATAAAAATCATTTTAAGTATTTTTTTTTACAAAAACTAAAAAAAGTAACGAAATAGACATTGGTATCACAACGGACAGGGGTACACAAAGGACTTAATCAGATAACGTAAAAAATAAACTATATAGGGTGGTACGATTTTAGAGTAATGCATAAACAAAATCCCTTGTAGTGGTGCTCACTTGCAGAATAACAACTTAGATTTCTAAATTGTAGACACCTTTTTTCTTTGACTATAAGCTGGTGAAGGTCCCTTTTAGTACTTTTATATTGCGTGGAATTTTTCCTTGGATGTAATCTATATCATGAGTTGTAATTACAAATAATTTTAAATTGGTTAATCATAAACTACTTTTAATAAAAGCGACGGTAAATATCCACTTTGTTGTCGAAAAATTCCATTGCGTTAGCCTAAATTCCATTGCGTTACCATAAGGTAACATAGTGGACTCGGTAACGCAGAGCACACAGTTTTGTAAAACCATATTTAAAAAATAATAATAAGAGTCATTAATTACTCTCAATAAGCTTTAGTGCCCTAATATAAACATAAACATAAAAAATAGTATTTTTTCTTACCTTATTTTTATTATTTTTTTGAATAACTTAGCGGACAAACAATTATTACATTCGCGTTACCCGCACCTGTTTCAACCGATATCTTCTTCCTGATTAAATAAATAAATTCAACTGGGTTGTGTACGTCTGAACATCATTTGTTGATCACGTGAGTACCAAAAAAGTTGCCATATATATGTTTTTTTTAATATTCTATTGGTAACGCGACGCACGTAACGCAACGGAAAAAATGTCTGGGACATGAGTCAAATTTAAAAAAAGTAGATTAAAATTAATTATTTTAAATATAAATTGTTTACTGTATTAACTAAGGATGTTATGGATTGCTATAAAGCAACACAAAGTTCTGGTTATTCAATATTTAAAAAAAACATGTATGTAAGTTTTATAAAACGCTAATGGGACATGCGAAAATGTGTATTTCACAAGTTTCAAAATTAAAAAAAATTATTCTGAAATAACTAAACAAAAATTTTCTGAAAGAGTTTACTAAGGGCTTGTTAAGCTTTCACTTGGTTTTTAAATCAATAAGATCCGATAATTTTTAACAAAGTTAGTGGAATTCAAACTTACGGACAGCGGAAGGCGGGTATTTTTTGAAAACGACCCTTATACCACACACTGATTTGTACACTTTTTAGAAATATTTTTTTATTGTAATCTAAACACAGCCCTGCTCTTAACAAAAAAACAAAAATCTTACCACCAAAGTAACGTGCGAACTTTTTTGTCCTATATTGGACCCAAAATAAAGTAGTTCTTTATTATTACCGACTGAGATATTTATAATTGTATACAGCGTCATCTAATGATTTGACTTTAAGGTAACGTTTATAGAACTCTGGTTTTCACAATATTAATGGTGACAGATAACAGGTGACAAATGACAGATGACACACTCATTATTTTAAACAATGTAGTGCGTTAAAAGTTTTAACTTAAAACGTCTATTAATTTGTTAGCAAATATTATTTTAAATATTGCATTTTTAATTAAATCTATTAAATTAAAACTGCACAAAAAAGTAAAGAAAACTGATAATGTCGGGTGCCTGCCTCTTTTGCATTTGAAACGCAATTCAAGCTAAGTAGTTGAAAATGCAAATGACTCAATTTAGATTGTAGATGACGGGCGAAAGAATGGGCCAACCGCCCCTATTTTTGTCAACTCAACTTGAGTAGCCCGAAATACAAACGCCAACATATTCTTACGGCACAAAAGGGCGAAGGGCGAAGTCTTAAGAACCGCGTTTCCCCTAGTTCGTTCTACATTAGGCTCTGTTGTCTCCCTCAAAGGGACATTATGTGAAATCGATAATTTGTTTCAGATAAACATAAATAAGCACTTTTATTGAAAAGGAACCTTTCAATAATAATCGTTTTTTCGTATTTTTTTTTAATCACAGAAATTATATAAGGACAATTAACATTAAAACTGCAAAAACAAGAGTTCTATAAATAGTTACCTTAAAGTCAAATCATTAGATGACGCTGTATACAATTATAAATATCTCAGTCGGTAATATAGAACTACACTGAAAAAAATTTGTTGTAAAATTACAAAGAAAATAATGGGATATTTTATACACATTATTTTCCTTGTAAAATTGCATCAAGGTTGTAATTTAAAATTATTACAATATTGTTGTAAAATTCAAAATTGTAAAATTACAATAATGTTGTAATGAATATTTTTTTACAATTTTGTTGTAAAATTAACAATTGTAATATTACAAATATGGAATTAAGGGTTTTTTCGCCTATTTTATGATTGAAAATAAAGCAATATGCTAATTAATTGTTTATTTAAAACTTTTTACAACTCTTCTTAATTTTGGTCTGCTTTTATTTTTTGTATCTACCACAATAATAAAAATTAAGAACAGACCAAAATTAACACAATTTCAAGGAAAATATGACATAATTTTTTTTATACCCAACTAATTAGCCTATTGTTTTATTTTTTAATCACACAATAGGCAAAAATAATAGAAGAAAAAACCCTCACTCTTTCCAATAACATTTAAATAATGCAAAATATGTTTTGCAAATTAAATTAGTTGTATTTGCTAATTAAATAAAATAAATTAAAAATTATTATCCGATTTTTTAATTCTAATATATAAAAAAATAAAACAAAACATATACCTATATAAAATAACAAATAGAAAGAAATAATAAATAATATTGTCTTAAGAAAAAACGTTCAAAACCTGTTTTTGTCTAGATTTTGTGATACTGAAAATAAATTATAATTTAAAAATATATTTAAAAAATTGAAATTTTTGTTATATAAATTTTCTTATTAGGCCAAGAAAGTTAGAATTTTGATTGGTGCGGTAAATTTAACGAGAATAATTTTTATTGTGTTCTTTATTATTATTTATATTAAAATACATTAAAAAATACATACTTCTACATGATATAATTTTAAGTAATACCTTTTGATAAATTTCAAAACACAAGAACCTTCAGTTGGGTATTTTAAAATATAGTCTAAAATATTTCTAAAAAGTGTGTGGTATAAATGAGTTCCTCGTGGTTCTGAAAATTCTGAAAACAAATAGTAAAATGGCCAGTGTCCAATTACTGGTTGGTAAAAAATGTAAATTTCTATTATTGGACATATGGCCAATATCATACTCTATTTGTATCCTGGACCAGCCAATTCTTATGTAAAATTGTCCCTTGAATCCGAAAAGACCGTCAAAAACCATAAGAGTTTTTGAGATATAGTCAATTCCATATTATATGTAAAATTGATTATATTTCAAAAACTGTTCTACTTTTATAACTTTTGACGACATTTTCGGATTCAGCGAATAATATTTCATAGGAATTGACTGCTAAATGTCCTGGATACAAATTGCTGTTAACGAGAATTATTAGTTGCTGCTTTTTCGCTATGACATTTTTGACTAATTTATTTTTAGAAAGTAAGTAATATAGTAATTTCTTCGTTATAACGTATACAGGACATCTTGCAGAATAACAGTGACATCTTGCAGAATAACAGTGATTTAAATAACAGTGATTTAAATACAGTGCATGATAGAGAACATAAAAAACTAATGGCTTCACAAACTAACCACACTTAATGATATTTGCAACAAACTATTTCAGATGTCAGACCAAGGAATTAGTAGTTACCTTTAGAATCCAGAAAAGACATGAGGAATCCGAAAAAGAAATATATGAATTATATGATATTTACAAAAACGAAATAAAAAAATTACCTAAAACAGCAATTTATCTTTAAAAAATATTTAACAATTTATGTTATTTGATGTTAAGTTGTTATGTTTATATAAAAATTGTATGTCCAATAACTATGGTCCATGTGTCCAATTACTATATAAAATATCCAATTACTGTACTTTTTTGCATGTTTTTATTAAACTATTATTAAAAATTCAAATATTCTTTTTTTGAAACAACTGCAATAACTATATGGTTTACCCTATTGGGGGTTAGTTAAAAGTATACAAATTTATAAAAGCCGTTAAAAGCGTATAAGCACTTAATTCGACCGTGAAACATAAAACCTATAAAATACTGAAACTGACAGGAAGGAAAATAAAATTTGACAATGTTTTACGAGATCGTGCCTTTGTAACAATTTTACGCTTTTAAAATTCCACACCAGACACCGTACACTTTCTTTCCGCAAAAGGATATTTTATTTTTAAACCTAATAAATTTTTTTTGATTACACATTTCTAAAAAACACGTCACTTAATCAATACAAGGAGGTACAAGTTGCTATGAGCAAATGTTGAAAAAGTTTTAGATGGACCCTCTGGTTTCCGAGTAAATTTGTGGTAA